ATTCACAAGTTTTCTAAGCAAGCACTGGATTCYTAATATTCAGTTTGTATGRCAGCTAYATACTATAGTGATCCGATCTAAATCATTTCTTCGAAGATTGTATTGAGGATCATGCCGCATTCCTTAGAGATATTTCGTCAAATAAAAAATATTTCCATTAAAGCAMTGAATTCCAATCATTTCGTATCAAGTGGTATAGTAGCTATATGCGATAGTGGTCCTATATCAGCGGCTCCGACAAATTAGCAGCTTCTTCAGGAAAAAAGGATGTATAGGATATCGGATCGATGTCTTAAAAACTGAGGGACTACGACGTTCCCTTCAAGGTGTTACAAGATTCGTAGCAAACTTATATACCCTGGTGAGGGTATTAAAAATAAAGAAAAAGTTTAAATTATAAAATCTCGTAATATCAGCAAAATGCACTAAAAGTTTTCACTCACGCATGTGGTAACGCAGCGCATGCTTGTGAATACTCCTACATATCCAAACGAGTAGATAATTCTATATGAAATCACTTCACCTGTCGCTTGTTTGTTGTCTGCATAGCTAATTGGCTTCGGGTATTTTTGTGAGCTATAATGCAAACGATCATTTAAGCGCACATACATACCAATTACAAGCACCACTCACTGGCAGAAACACCTTCCTCTCTCACCGCACACCTTTAAACACTCTGCTTACATACCAAACATTTCATTAAGCGCCAGAAAAACCACTGCTAGACATAAAAAAAGGAGTAGAAGTATAACAATAACATCACAGCGCAGCAAAAAGTATATTTAACGCATTTTGAACGGCAATTTGATGGTATGCAACACCGTTGCAACGCTGTGTTGGCGCGTACGCGACGCCAGACAGCTGGCGTACATGGCGTATACGTGATGTTATTTCAGCGCTGTTGTGTGCTACACGTACACACGCTGTAATTACATACATGAAAAGGTGGCGACTACACGTGAGTGTGTTAGTGCTTACATTGCTTACATAAGCGTAGGTGCACACCATTATCCACATGCAGTTATTGTTGTTATTGTTGCCGCTTTAATGGTTTTTCATATTAAACTGATTTATTTATGCCGCACAAATGTGTTGTTCACAAGCATGTATATGTGTGTGTGTGTGTGGGAGTGAGTGAGCGAAAAAACTGCCATGCTCTTAGCAAAAGCATTAAAATATCGTCAACGTGAGAGGCAGCTCGACGGAAACACAGCGAGCAGCTATAAAAACAATAGCTGGCTAGCGCTTGTCTACGGCATTTCCTGCAGCTTTTACTGTCCGCCGTTCGAATATTCTTTTAAATGCCATATAGAGTCCTTCATGCAGCACCGGCACATACACAGACACACACACATTTATGTATTTCCTGCTTCCTTCGGCTGGCCGTGGTGATTTTGCCATAATTTTCCTTTCGTTCTCTTCGTTTTCGTCTTTGTTGGCGTTTAATTACAACGCATTAATTTCATACGTTGCCGCATTTCCCGTTTTTTGGACTGCCTTGCTTGCGATTTCCTGCTTTTTTTTGTTGCTTCCTTTGCTGTGCTTGCCTTTTTGTTATTTTTTGTCGACTATTAGCTTCTACATGCTCTGCTTTATTTTGGCGCTTCTGCTGTAATCGAGAATGTTAGCAACTAATTTGCAATTAACGCTCGACCATAATTAATTTGTTTATGTGACAGTGCGGGAAAGGGAGGAGATAATGGATGTGCATAAAGTGTCTGGAAAGAAATTCGGTTGCTGCTTTCTAATCATTATTTCATATACTTTTTCAGGGTTTAAGAGAAACTTATCTTAATTAAAAAAATATGTTWATTATTATGTCTGTGTTTATTTCTTGTACTTCTGCGGAAGAATCTATATAATGTTTCCGAACTTGATCCTGATCCTTTTTTAAACTTGGGTGAATATTTTTAAAAAGAAATATCGATTTTCCTTTCTTATGTTTTCTTTTTTTCCGCTGTTCCTAATAATGTAGACTTGGACAATATGTGGTCCCACAAACTACAAAGCGAATGTCACAATCGATTTATTGAAAACCAAGTTTGGTTAACGGTTTAACTTACGGAATGGTACGCCGTTAGACTGTTTCCTGGTAGGGATAAGTCAAGTCTATGGTCTATGCCAACAAGCCAGCGTCCGTTGATGAACTTCCTACGGATAACGAGCGTGAAATTGTGGCAGTATCGGCCGATTTATGCTTGAAAACCGTCGAAAATTGGGTTCAGCGTCTGGACTTCTGCAAGCGTGCCGGTGGTGGCTATGCTAAATAAATCGAGTTCCATGCATAGTGGCATCGAATTTACTTTCACAGAAATAAAGAATTTCGTTGATAACCTAAACCGTTTTGTCTTTATTTAAAAGCTATTGCAGCGCTCTTATTGAGAAACCCGTTATTTCATTCATTTAGCCGTTCATCAGCTCCTCTATTCTTGTACTTTCTGTTTACCTAATGTTCCTTAAACCAAATCCTCTCACAAAGACATTCAAAGATGCTTTCAATATTTGTCTATTCATAGATCCCGAGTTCGAAGTACGGCGGTTTCACTATATCAGCATTGGTACCGTACTATCCGCCTTTTAAATTTGGATTGTATTGGATTGTCTATGTCGAGATTTTCTCCAATACAGTTTGAGAATAAAATACCAGAGCACAGATATTACTTTCCATCGTTTCTTGGCTTCATACCAAGTACATGCTGTAAGTTCTCATCTTTCATAATGTATAGTGTGGAGATTTGCTATATCCTGCTATAAAGCTGCTCTGTCTCACGCACTTGCTCAGTTTTGCACTCTTGCTTGCTCTCTTAATGAGACACATTTGCATGATCTATTATTCAATTGACCAAGGTTGTGACTTTCATATCAGCGAAAGGTATATATAATATATCAATGGAAATATTAGCTTCATTCGTTCGTCTACCTTTTCAGAGCGCAATATCGGATTACTTCACTCTCCCATTAATTGTTTWGGAAATATTTTATATCTTCCCTTTTGTCATGTTGATAAAGTTTTTAACTTTTCTGAACGCAAAAGTATACATTTCTCAGAAAGACCGCTCTTTTCAACAAACTATTCGGTACCCATATTCGTTACAAAATATTCATGAATGCAGGAGGAGAGAACATGTATTAGTTGTTCTATACTATATAGCTAAATGCTAATTGTTTGGCAATTTGCTATGTAAGCATTGTGAAATATACTTTACCTTTATAGACATGTAAATTTACAGGTTTGTTTGGTTTAAATGTGTACATAGTGTGCTACCACAATATCAGCTCACATGTTCTCTTCACAATATGGTCCTAGTATAGACAGAAAATGCTAAGCATGCCGCACATCGAGTGAGTTTCGGACAGTTTATCGCAAATATTGTTGACCACTTTCTATGTAGCATGTATCACTTTACGCTCACCAGCCCTCCCACTCTCTCTCTCTCTCTCTCTCTCTTTATGCCTCTTTCTCTTTGTCTCTCTCTGCATCTCTTGCTCATTTCGAGTTTCCGCAGCCGTTTGTACTGAATATTTATAGATTTATTGCCGTATCGTTTGCCCCGACTCATGGCATTTTAATTAGATTCATGTTTGCTTGCAATCAAATATGCAACACAATATGTTTACGCAGCCACACAGGCGTAGAAATGCATGATCACACACACATATAGACAGATACATTACGCATAATTTACACTGAAATCCTTTTGCTGCTTAACGTTTTTCCTGCACTTCTCTTTATTCATTTGTGTGTGGCAAATGCAATCAGTCTAAAGTTGACACAACTCTAGTTTGTAAATAATTGACCTCAAATGTGTTTACTCAAGCGCATTAGTGTGCGGCACATGTAGGCGTGTGTATTTAATTATAAATGAATACGTTTGTTGCGTTATTAAGCAACAAGCAGTTAGGTGGAGATATGAATTTATGATATCGCATGAATATATAGTTTGTTGAAGGTCCATCATTTGTATTGTAGCATACATTTTGGCGCAGCCTGACTGGTAGCGCTTGTATGACTTGTTTGACTATAATTAATAACGGTGCTTAGTGCACTTAACTCGTTAAACATAAGCACTTAATTTCCTTATAAGTGAGGAGTTGGAAGAACGGACTTTCAAAGAAAATAAAATCTTTAAATTTTCTAAGTTAAGGGTTAGGTTAGGTTCATTAGATAATAAATTACTTGTGAGTTCATGAGTAATACTACTTGCATTGCAATAGATCCTTGTCCGTTGTGATAGCTAGAACTTCTAAGTATGGTTCAAAAAGATCATCGCATATCTACACAACGTCCCAGAACATCTATATCTATTCGAGCTAATTCGCCGATAATATTAAGCAGCCAATACCTTCCCCATCCTCTCCTCAAAATTAGGCTTCTATGATAGTTTTCTATCAGGGATGAGTACCAAGTTTTACAACTTTTTAAGAGAGTCAAACAGTATTTTTATTTAACGATGGCAACCCCCTCTTTCAGCTATATTGTTTCAAAGTGTTTTCGAAGGGGCTTTGAAATTTCCTTTGTAAATATTGTCCAATCTGAAGACTACCGATCATTTATTTAATAAAAAAATCATTTTTTTTTTAACCGCAGTAACCTTCTCTGCAAATTTCAAAAACAACACTATAATATTCGGATGAGCGGTCGTAAAAAAGGAATTTTCATATGTACATATGCATATATCTACATGCGAGGTTTGAACCTGCTATGACGTCTTCTACGCTTCGTTTTGTATCACCGGTTTAAAGATATCATGTAAAATTTCTGGCTTCCGAAAATCGTTCAAAATAATTTTTCACATATAATCGTTGTCACTCCCTTTTATCTGAAAATTTTTTCTTCACATTGTAAACATTGCTCACTTCAACCAGATTTTTTTTTTTTTTTTTTTTTTTTTTTTTTTTTTTTTTTTTTTTTTTTTTTTTTTTTTTTTTTTTTTTTTTTTTTCGGTGACACACTCATGACACAAAAGTGTCAAAATCACTTCTAAAAATTTTCAAAAACACATACCGCTTTATTTACTAACAAAATTATTTCCGCAAAATTTTTGTACAAAATTCCAAAAAAAAGTCTCCAKCTCTCACCAAATACATGCTTTGAAAGAAAGAGGAATAGTTTCTAATATATTTTAGTGTTTGGTGTTGCAAAATTGTTGGTTGTAATGTGCTATTCCACTGAGGATATGGCTTTTGCTTTGGCCTACATGAGCATAGGATTTTGGGCGTTTTGCGCATTAATTCATGCATTGGTTCTGTTGGTGCATGCGAGTTTGGAATCGACGGAACCGAGACGTTGTGATACGGCTTTAATTAGATATGTGAAGAGTGAGTAAATTGCCTTGATTTAGAAATTAAAGATGAGACACAAAAATTCTTAAATATAAATACAATTAAATTGTATGCCTAAAGGTATGCTACATTTCAAAAGCAACTGATATTTTTGAATGTGCCATGACATTTTTTGTTAAGTTTTCAATAGCATACACAAAAATTAAAAATTCTATTGCTTTTTGAAGAATTGTTCTGAAATTATCACGAAATTGTGTCGCTTGTGATATATTTCAAATGAAATAATAGAAGCGCGACATCTGTCTGTCGTATGGCATGATACTTGTAACTTATATACCATGTGCTATAATGAACATTGCCTTAATTGAGTTTAATAATTAAAATCTATCGCTAATTCTATTTTCCAATTTCGTCCCGAAGCCATACCCATTGACTTTCACTTCAATGCGCTGTTTGGTGATTTACTACGCACTGGTGCCTCATTTATGCTACYCAAAGCAATTAATGACGTAAGTTCGTTTAAAATTTAGTTTGTTTTAACCGTTTCTTATATCAATTATGTGATATTAGAAGGTGAAAAAGTGTAACTGGAAATGTTGCTCTCATAAATTTATAATATAAATTTTTTTTTAATATTTGTTTAAACTTATATTTAATTAATACATTATTTTCTTCTTAATATTTAGTGCAACATCAATATGCTTGTGAACTTTTTGCGCTTCAAATATGTTGAAGTATTTCTTCTGCTAATCTTATTTACTGTTAGCTGCTTCAGGGAAGAAGCGAATGCATTTATAAAAGCTTACTACACGATATTGTTGGGTGAGTGAAATCTATATATCAAATATCCTTCATAGACTCATTATAGTACAAAAAATAACTAATAGAGATTTTATAACAAAGTATAAAAAAAATATGTAGAAAATAATTTTTTCATATATTACTCTTATTCACGTTAAATTTTGTTAAAAATGTGTTTATTATAA